CTGTGTATTTGCTACCGTGGATAAAGAAAAAAACGCACACCGTACTCTCACGCTACAGGCCATACTTTATCTGCTGTTTTCATGCATGTGTCAGAAAGACTTGGGAGAAATTAATTATGTTGGGCCTGTATGGAAAATGTTCACGCTATTGAAGCTAAATATTGTAGATGCATTCCCGTCCATGAGTGTACGTCTGCAGCCAGAAGGAATTTCTTTCATTCAGTCTGCTTCATCTGGTGGCGTGCCAGAGTCAGCACTCTGCGATTTATAGTCCGGCCATGGCTCTGTCTCTGGTTTCCTGTCTTATAGCTCTGGATGTGCGTGAGGCTCTCTCTGTGTGTGTATGTGTGTAGGCGTGTGTTAATGTGTATGTGTGTTTACATTTTTAAACGTTATGATTTGTTGTATCACTCATCTATGGTATTATATTAATTCCCTGCTCTCATTGGGCCCGGGTCAGTCTGTGTGAGGGGCATAGAAACGTGGATTAACAGGGATTTAGTCTCGATACATCAGGTTTCCTCAGACTGGTTTTTGTTTCTCTTGGTCAGATTGTCCTCCCGGGTCACTGGAGGACTGCGTAATGTTGTGATGGCCTGCGCACTGAATGAATGACTGATGGAGAGCTAAACTCAGACTTACTCTGATTGGTCCTTAAATAGGTTATTTAAACTGTGCAATTAAGAGCAAATATTGGAGGCTTTTAGAATTTGTTGTATCACTCAGAAAGTCTTCACCTACTCGTTTCAATAGTTTGGGTTCTTGGTATTTATAAAGGGGTGATATCAGAATTATCCTTCAGTCTTAAGGAGCAAAAATAGACGCACAGATGTAAGACATTTGGTCGTCAGTGGGGTTGGGTCTGTATATGAAGCTGCAGTGGAGTATTAGACTATAAAGAAGGGGCGACCATCGCACATATTTTACTCTGTTTTTGCGTGTTTTTTTGTCCCAATGCCATAGGTTTTCACCCACCCACCCACACACACACACACACACACTAAAAAAAATAAAATAAAATAAAATAAAATGATAAATAAATAAATAAAAATTAAATTAAATTAAATTAATAAATAAAAGAAAAATGGATATCAAGAAAATAGACGAAATCACATTTAGTCATTCACCCTAGTTCGGTTTTTTGTATGTAGACCTATACCTTAAAATTTTGATTTGATTACTGATTTTTCAACATTGTTTAAAAATAACAAACACAAGCGAGTGTGAGAGTGACACAAAAATATTAAAAAGAAATAAAAGCAAATAGATTTAGAGAATATAGCTTCAAAAGCTAGGACAGTTGTCCATGGGCCCTCTTTAAAAAACAAAGAGATGTTTCAAATTGGAAAAAAAGTAACTTGTCTGCAACATAGATCTTTAGCCTAAATGTAAAAACAAACAAAAAGCAAAAAAATAAAAATAAAAAATAAACAAACAGCTATTTTTTGTGTGCAATTGAAGGTGTTTCACAACAAGGCTACAATGAGTACTTATGTGTGGCTTGGACCTCCTCCAGAGTCTAGCCTGAAGCTAAGTCTATCTCGTGTGAGTTGTAAACTAATAACGGGTTTTATCATTCATATCTGTTTATTAGCCTCTGGTTATTGTTCAGTAGTTTATATAAGGACTGATTTCCAAGTATGATTAGTATTGCATCATGATTCATCGAGCTAAACCTGATTGTATATTGTGCGTCCCTGCTGCCTTCTGTTTGCTCCCACAGAGAAAACACGCAGAGGGCCGAGAATACAAGAGTCATGAGAGAAAACACTAAAAACCTGGAGGCTTGACTTCATTCAAGAGTTTTGCTTTTAACAATTAACAAGAAGAACAGTAGTTGAATGGAGACCTGTTTAATTAGAAACAACACATTGAAAGGGCTGTGTCAAAACAACCATCTAGACTACCATGTGTGTGTGAGTGTGTGTGTACACCACGGCGTTTACGGGAGTAACGTGACCGCAGCTAACATAAAGCGTAAGCTCCAGCTGACCCCGCCTGTGAGGAAGCCGCACATGACTTTACAACAACTGCGTGGAAATGCTCGTGTATTGACAGAAATCCCCTCAAGTCAACCACATCTTTTGTCATTATCACAAAAAACCCATACTCTCGTGTGATCACGTGATGATGAGGAAGCTATTATGATGAACTAAGGCCTAATCAGCTGAAAGTGGTCACTGTGGGGTCAAGTTTTCTCTGTGACAGTAACCTCAGTCATCAGGCCGATCATGGATGGATGCAAAACATCATCTGAACAGGATCTCTCATGTCGGCCACTATCACTGCTGTCATTGACTGAAGTACGCTTTGTAATCCCTGCCAATAATCACTTTTACATCCACTAAACATGGCTGATTTTGGCCACACTCTACTGGTGACACAACGCTTTGCAAATCAATGGAGAACACCCTCTTCTTCTTCTTCTTCTTCTTCAGATTGGCTTGAAACACCATAGCTAAAGAAAAAGACATGCTCCTTTTTTTCATCGAGTACGTCAGACTGTGGTCCTGTGATGTTGGGTGCTCTTATCTGCTTCAACCGCAAGTGATCAGCAATAAAAAGTCGTCACGGCCTGGAGTTGGATCTGTAGCAGATCACGAAAACTTGCTCAGTCGTGGGGTCTCGTGTTTGTTTGTGTCCCTCTGATATGGCACATAGTTTTTAAAATGATCATATAGATAGTAACGCATTAGTGTTTATTCAATTGTAGCCTATTTATTTTTGATTCATTAGAAGATGGGTTCAGATTGACTATTAAAAGAAAACAGGATCGAGTGGGCCTCCAACATCTTCATTTACAGAGATTACAACTTGAACAGGGACGTGTCCAGCGTGCATTAAAATAAGATTTCTCTGAAAAGATAGTTTGCACCACGAAGCACCAACACACTGATGTTTGTTTGGGAGGAGCAGAATGGAAAACTGGTCTCTCTCTTAGGCCACATAAATTATTTTCTTTACTGCGTCAAGACTTTAACCAGTGAAGAGCCTCAAAGTGGAGATTGAAATGAATGCATTTCTATGAACTGAAAACTACATTCCTCGTAAATTTCCACGGAAAATGATGGCTAAATCTGATCTTGAGTTGAAACACTTTGGCCTGTCGGTTAAGACTGGACGCACTGTTGTCGAGGTGTGTAACAGGCTGCGAAATTATCACCATTTTGGAGCGCTTATTTCAGTTTAATAGACGTCCAGCAACAGGATATGATCCAAACTAATAAAAAAATGATCATGATGAATTTGGTGGTTTCATTTAAATTAAATTTAAATTTCTGTAAATAAAAATAAAATCATAAAAATGTATTAATTCATTTATTTTGTTGCTTTAACGCACGAGTCCAAACCGTAACTGTAGGCCTATTCCTCTTTACACGCATTTAAAAAGGACCCCTGTGGTGTTTTGGTCCAGTGATGAAGTTTGCGGTACAACAACTTATTTTTTTTCGAGCCTTTCAAAGATATTTGGTAAATAAGCATTATTTAACATCTTTAAAGCTGTTTTTTTTTCATATAATGGATAAATCTGCAGTGTGTGTGTGTGTGTGTGTGAGAGAGAGAGAGAGAGATAGTCTGCCTTCATGTTTCATCGAGGCTTCTGCTGAAAGTGAACTGCTGGATGTCAGACTAAAAGAACAATATCGCCCTCTAGCGCTCTGATTCAACCTCCAAATAGACTTTGCTCAAAGCTTTTTCCTGCACAATACAAGGGTTTTACTTCTTGTTGGCCTTTACGCAAAAATATCAGTCAAATTCACTAGTTTAATTTTTATAAAATTGTGATATATTTTTTTAAAATCAGTGCGTTTTTTCCTCTTCTAGAAGGAGCTCCACAGGGTAAGATAAGGACACGTTTCTGATTTTTAGCTGAAAAATTAGATAAAACAACAACTGAACCAAGAGTGCATCGGACACTAGTCAAAGTGAAGTTTTGTTTCCCATCGCTGGGAAGTGCAGTTGGTGAATAAACGTGACCACTGCTGTGGGGGTTATTTCCTTTGAAACAATCCATCGAGCAGACACCCTGTGGAAAGTGTCCACATTCTGTTGGTCAGCAACAGACGCAAACACCCGAGAAGAGAAGGGGGCTTCAAAGGGAGACTGCAATTACTGACCAGGCCCATAAACTCATTTAGGCCAGACGTCTAGCCATTTCTATAGCTTTATTGGACCAAGGTTCTTCCTGCTTTAAAGCCATTATGCGCACAAACTAGACAATAAATTGGAAATCCGCCGCAACACCTCTCCCAATTGTAAACACTTTATTACTTGTCCTTTTGCGTTTGAGATTAAAGTTAACCTCAACACAAAGTGAGATTTGTGTTACCAAAATTAAAACCAAAAAGCAGTTTGAATCATTCTGATGTCTCGCCATGGATTTTGTTGAAACCAGATCCAGAATACTTTTGGATTAGTTTTGTAAAGTCCAATTTTGAGTCTAAAAAACAGGGACACAAGTGACATTTTCATTTTAAATATAGGGTTAGTCTATAATAAGCCATAAATATACACATAAGTGTTCAAGAATTTTAGGAAACTGAAAGTAAAACTTCTCTTTGATGCAAAAACAAACCGCACGCGTAAATGTGTTTTTATCTAAACACACTTTGGTCGACACTATCCGAGTAAAAACGGGTCTCTTGTTTACCGAAACACTCAGCAGTCAACGGTTGAGCTTTGAAAATGTTTTATGTACAATTCTTAACAACTATAAAAAGCAATATGTTACAAAGAGACACGTTTCCTACTGTGCGTAATGTCCAACAAAAATGACAAACTGCTTCAACATCCCAGGGTGTGGTTCCTAAAAGTTAGGAGACAGATTCAAAAGGGGTTGTTGACAGAATCTGTCAGTGTTTTTTTAGCCAACACGCAATGAAACCGGCGCAAAATATGAGGGGGATCTAATAAAATAGAATAAAATGGCTACCGTGGCTCCTACCAAAAAAAAAAAAAAGAACTCAATCGTCCAAATGGCTTCAAACGCAGCAAAGGTTTCATAAGTGTTCCTTGCTGCCTCTCTCTCTGTTCATCTTCTTCATCTTCATCCTCCTGTTCTGGAACCAGATCTTCACTTGTCTCTCGGTCAAACTGAGTATGCGGGCCACTTCGTAGCGTCGGTCTCTGGTCAGATACATGTTGTAGAGGAACTCCTTCTCCAGCTCTAAAGTCTGGTATTTGGTGTACGGGCAGCGCTTTTTTCTCGTGGAGCGCGCGTGGATCCAGTTTGCTGCAGGGTTATCTGGAGGGAAAAAACACAAAGATGAAGTGAATACGAGCGTGCTGAGGGTACTTTTAATTCAAACCCACAACAAGTTCAATACATGAAAAGGGGACTGTTGTACAGGGACTCACACGGGCAGTGGTGCTGCAGGAAATAGAAAAAAAACCCTCTGAAAATGGAGAAATGCCTAAAAATTACCGTTCAAATAATGTGTTTGGTGTTTTACGGATAAAAAATAAAGATATCAAAGGTTGTATCTAATCTTTACGAAGCATTGTGTTTCTACTTGAGGTGTCCTGTGACATTAAAAAGTTTAGGATCCCCCAGTAATAACCTTTCCAGGGCGGGTTTTTCCCGAGCCGCTGCATAGCACGAGACACTTTTATAGGTTAGTAAAAGCTCCAGTTTTACGCACCCAGCTCATACAGTTCTTAGGGCAGTAAATCAGGATTTCGTTTACTTACTTGGGTCAAGTTGTTGTTGTTTCTCCTCTTTTGGCTCGCTGTGGCTCGAAAGCTCACTTCCACTATGCTCTTTGCTCGACTTTTCTCGACACTCCGATACTCCGTGCGTGAATTCTCCACTTTGCGGACGACTTTCTGACTCCAAAGAGTCACACTCGGTTGATTTCGGAGGTAACACGTCTGGTTTTGTCCCGTACGAGCGGCTACTAGTGTGAAATCCGGAAAAAGAAACGTGGTTGGAGATGGGGTCCATCCAGGAGCGGACGCCGACATATCTGCTATCCGAGGCGGGGAGGTGGGACTGATGGTGGTGGTGCACGTATGGGTGATAAATCCCCTGCGGGTGGACAGAGGACCACGACGGAGAGAAAACGGCGGACTTTGGAGCAAAATTGCAAGAAGAGAAGTCTGCGTTGTCCCCGGCACCTGACGGCCTCGGGGTCACCATGTGTGGAGGCTGAAGAAAGCGAGCTCCGTACACATCCTCCGGTTCCTGTCCCATTAAAGCGTCCACATAGCAGTTACTGAGAGTGCCACTGGAAGACATTTTTCATCTCTTCCTACTCTTATAATAAGCCTTGCACTGTTAGGAGAAGCTTCCCTCTATGAACAATCATAGTATTTTTGCTTGGCCTGCATCTACAGGGATTGGTTACATGGATCACGTGGTCATATTTACCAATACAGCCAGTAAATCAATCCCACCGCTGCGCTCTCTGCTTTTTTTCGTCAGGTTTAATTTAGCTTTTCATTCCACAAATAATAAAAAGCCCCATCAGATGTGACTGTAGGGACAGAGCATGCGCTCGGATGAATGCAAATGGACTTTTTTTGTTCTTCACGTGCGTAAAAGCTGCAACAATACAAGCAGAACAAAAAAAAGACATTTTTTTCAACACAAGCACAGATTCTCTGCATCCTTATGTTTGAGAAAAACTCTTCTAATATCGTCCCGATGCCCTCAATGCTTGTAAAATGGTTTATAGACTTAACGGAGTCCTCGTAAAATAAATGTAATAACATGTTGTAAAGGAACAGAAGCCATTTCCGTTCACAACGCGGCGGATCCATTGTTAATATTCGGCGAGGAAACATATTTTCTGGGTTGGGTTTAATTTTTAAAAGCTACGCCGGAAACGGCAGTTGTGAAATTATTGTGTTCATTCAAAGGAGAGCAATAATGTCTTTATGTATCAATAAATGTTTTATGAGGTGCGTGTGATTATACATGCCGTCAATAAAAGAAAATGCTTGGAGAAGGAAAGTCTCTCTATTGCTGGCTGGAAGTGACATTTACATGTAATACGCAGCTTTTCTAAGACCAAATTTTCTTTACTCTTCACATGTTCGGACGCAGAGGTTTTTCAGCCTTTATTTTCTAGAGAAATGTGTACTTTTCAAGGTGAACCGTCAAGATTGATAACAAATACGCAGACTGAATCAGACTAACATTTCTTTAATCGCAAATTTGTCATAAAATGCAAAGTTTTTCTGCGCACACAGAAGAACTGCAACGTGACTTTTGAGGCCTGTGCCATTCGGGTAGGAAGGAAGAGCTGATCCGTGCCTGTGAATTTGTGCTTGAACATTAAACACACCACGTCTGGACGTGTCTTAACGCTATAAGCTAAGTCACAAACAGCAGGCCTACAAAAAACAGTGGAAACGTGCTCTTTTTTTCGATATCTCCACTGTTTTTTTGCAAATCTGTGCACACAAAGAAAACGCCAAAATAAACTGGCAATGTTGCATTCTTACGACTATTTTTGGCCCCAGTTGAAATCTCTGTTTATTGAAATTATCAACAAACGGAGTATTCATGTAGAATGGGTACTATTTTAATCATTTTACCACCCACATGCCTCCTATTTATCAATAAAACTAAAAAAACTTTGTGCGTAAAATTGTAAACTCATTTTGTTTCGTCCGCAGGGGTTTAGAAAAGTATTAAGATTATTTGAAATGATAACTTCTTGAAAATATCTTGTGAATGCGATTTGTTTTGTCGGGGAAAATGCAAAAAGCTCTTTCTTTAAAAGAGGTGTTGTAATTTTCCTTTTAAAACACGAGTTTTCAGCCGCGCAAGAGAAAATAGTCCCGCAGATTTAGACAAAACTGAAGGAAATAGGCAATAGAAATAATCGTACACTTTAAAAACAAACACATATACAAATGAAGATTATTTGACAATTTATTGCAAGATACATGCTACAAACATGCAATGAACTCACATAGAAACATTACTTTGCCGCCTCTTTTTCAAGGCCCAGAGAAACATTACACAATGGAGCAAATGGTTTGCAACTACACTGAAAAACAAATGTTGCACTACACGACAATAAATGTGCTTTTATGACGACAACAACTGAATAGCCATACTAGCAGGAGACACTTCTACATCCCCAATAATTTAAGACCAAAAAGTGAAACCCTGTGGTAAAAATAAAACACAAACACACGACACCACACAGAAAAAAAAAATAGCTTATATAGAGATAGTCACAGTTTCTTTGAAATTGATGATAAACGTCCAATGCCACTGAAGCATCAAACTGATTATTACAAGAAAGGAAAAACAGCTAACCACAGACACATGCGAGCTCACGAGAAGGTGAGGTTTGAGGTGAGTTCACGGATGCGGTTTTCTCTGCTCATCTTCTTCAGCTTCATCCTGCGGTTTTGAAACCAGATCTTGACCTGCCTGTCGGTCAGGTTAACGCTCCGGCTGATCTCTAGGCGGCGCTCTCGGGTCAGATACATATTGAAGAGAAACTCCTTCTCCAACTCCAAGGTCTGGTGCTTTGTGTAGGGACACCTTTTCTTCCTGCCACTCTTCGCTGTGAGCCAGTTACTGGTCGGAGTGTCAGTCTTACAATCTGTGAGGGGAACGAATAAAACACGTCAAGTTTTTTTTTTAATCTTTGAAAGAAAGAAAAAAGATCACGTGCTGATTTTAGATTTGACCTCAGGGAAATAACACAATCTTAATGTTTTCCAGATTAGATTAAAAGAAGGGGGTGTGATGAGTCACGTACTTACCACCACGAATTAAAATGAAACATGACTGAACCTCAGTGCGCACATCAGAAAAATAGACTTTTCATGTTTCAAAAGTGCATTTCTACCTTGTGCTACAATGCTTAAATTTACAACCATAAATGTAATTTTCATGTATTGATTTCTTGGGTTTTCTAGTCTTCTCTACACTATAGCCCCTCAAACCAAAATCACACACAACTCTGCAGTTTTATCAGGATAACTTGCTGATTAAATTTACTTTTACGCACCAAATCAAGCGTCTAAATACGAGCTTAAAAGTTACCATTTTTAGTTAGTGAAAACTGTGCCACATGCAAACAGATAATAAAAATAAAAGCACATTAGTCTGGATTAAATAGAGGGATACACAGAGTGCGCATGCTGCCTGGTAAAGCCATTCTCTTCTCCCTGCTCCTGCAACCTGAGAAAGCCTCTCATTAAACATTACGACTGTAGGGCTGTTTGTGTTTTATTCTTGCTTTTATGATGCCGGTGCCTTCACTGCAGAAGCGCCACAAGATAAAAGCTTTCATTGTATAGCCAACCCACCTTTCCCTTCCTGCTGCAGCAGCTCAGGGCTGGACACAGACACGTCCATGGAGCACATCTTCTCCCCGGAGCTGGACTGAGAAGGATCCGGGCTTTCTGCAGGAACCGGCGTCAGTGAGGTCTCAGGGTTCTGAGGGATTTCTTCAGTTTTCTTTTCCACTTCTGCGAAATTTGAAGAGGCTGAAGATGAAGAAGAGGAGGGCTGTGGTTTGGGGGTGACCCGGTTAAGCTGCATGAGTGTTGGGGTTGGGCTCGGCGGCGCATGCTGGTAGTTTTCTTGGTGCTTCCCGTTCGCGTAAGTTTGGCTCAGTCTGAAGTAGCCCGGGACTGGGATCTCTGGACCATCAGACTCAGGAATAACATGAGAGTAAGCCTCTGAAGAGCTGATTTTTTGGACTCTTTTATCAGAATACATGCAGCAGTTACTCTCCTCTTTAATGCTCTGTGAAAATGTACAGTTTGACATCTGACTGGACCCCTCGATCCTGCACGCTCTGCTCGGATCGGTCCAGTTTTCTATCTGAGGTATGTACTGGTGGACATTCATGCCCACATTTTGGTGGTTGACCTCCCCTCTTTTGCCGAAAGACGGCAGGAGTCCACAGGTTTGCATTCCGTAAGTTCCCATGTCTGCTCCGGACGGCATGTACATGTTGCTGGTGCCGGAATAAAAGCTGTCCGTCCTGCACGCGCCAATCAAAGAGTCCACTAAGAAGGTGTTGGCCGCAGGAGAGCTACTGGGGAAGGACATTTTGGGGGGTTAAGTTCTTTACGGGAGAGAGATGTCCTTTGGAAAGCTGACATATCTAGGAAAAACAATCTCCAGTGGAAGTCAGGATGCCTCCCGACCACATGACAAGCCCACCAATGAGATTTGAAAATGGCCTTGAGACGCAGCCTCCTCGCCCCTGCACGCGCTCGCACTGCGGAGGCAGACGTGGTCAACAGCGACACCTGCGACACGGACTTGAAATTGGTTCACATGCTTATGCAGACAGCAGTGAAACTAATGCTGCTCAACTCAACTGACACAATTCCGCTTCAGGAAGGATTTGGTGACACATTTGGTGCATTGAAGCTTCTTTTGCTCCAATAAAATGTTGATTTTGAGTAAAATGCTGCAAAAAGTGGATTTTTCTCTTTATTTTGGCGACATATTCAACACAGAGAGTGTGTGAGTGCATGTGTGTGTGCGTAAATGCTGCTTAAATGGCGCATAGGCGACAACTGCCCTGTTAATTTGAAAGGATTTTTAACTATTCGCACTGACCTTAATGGTTTCTAAATCATATTAAAGCAGCCACTGAAAGCCCACCGACAACAGGGACTTCACCAAGTTAGTCCTGACTAATTTGAAGTCAGGGGCCGTAAGAAGAAAAAAAATAAACATATTTTTTTACTCCTTTCGTACTTCAAGTGTTCAAATTTAAGGCTTTGTTTTTATTTTTTATTATCATGACTTTATTGCGGCTTCCCTGTTAAACTTTGGGTTCAAAAACACTCCATCTATGTGCTTCGGCTGTTGAGATTTTCTGCATCATGTCTGCATTGAAATAAGGAACCTAATAAGTGAAATGAGGGTCCATCATCCTCACATAAAAACTTCATAAACAAACAGGAGTCTGCACATGCATGAAGGTCAATGTTTTTATACTGTTCAAATAAAGTCCACATAACAGTGATAGAAAATTGTCCTTTATTATTTGCACATATTATGAAGCACAACGTCTGTATTCCCATTTTTTACACACATGTATCTTCAATGTTTAAAGCAGAAGTTCAAAAATAAAAACCTCCTTCTTTTGTGTTGTAATCAGTCTGTGTGTCATGGGTGTTATTTATTTAACTCGGGGCTCCTCTGTTTCTGTCTGCAATGAGGGCGAATGAATGTGTGCAAGATAAACAGAGCGTCTGTGAGGGTGTGAAGAAAAAACAAAAACACAGTGGGAGAATCAAAGTGACCATCGACCGAAAATTAGAAGTCAGCCCACTGAGTCTGCAAAGAAGAAGCATCTTGAAATAATTCAATCTTTGGTATTTATGCTGCAAACTTTAGACGACTTCAGTCAGAGAGAGGCTGTGAGGACAGCGTTTGTTGCGTCTTTAACCCTCTTTAGATATTTACACTTGGTAGTAAATTTGTTTTTAGTTTGTGGGTTGCAAATCATCACAATATAACAGAATCCACACACAAATAATACAACTTGGTATTAAAAAAAATACACCATAATGAGACTACAAAATTCATTCCGCGCTACGACATATTCGGGTCTTTTATTTTGGAAGGTACAAAGACTTTTTCTCGTTTTAATCCGCTTTTGGCCTTTTCTTTATTTATCCTATACTATTGATTTATCCACTGTTTAAATGTTCAATCATAATGTTAGATAAAACCACTGGGCTGTTTGCATTTGTTTAGTGGAACACAACGTAAAAAAAAAAGAAAAAAAAAAAACAAAGAGTGAGGATACACGTTCCCAGGTAAAAATTAAACCACCGTTTACGCACAATATTGCCATATAGTACCTATAATGAAATAATACAAAAACAATAATTATAACAGCAATAATCATTTTAATAATAGTTATAATAATAGAGGATTTAAAATAACAAAATACACACGTTGTTTATTGGAAATTACGGTATCGACGTAGATAATAACCCTGCGCCAAACCACAACAACATTTTACTATTCAGAGTCAGGTTTATTCTCAAATATCCAGACGCAATAAAAAAAGAGAAACAATCATATTAAATATCTGTAAAGCAGCAGCAAAACGGAATCAAACGAAAGGAACTGAAAGAAATATTCACAACTAACTTTCTCTTAACACCGTAATCTGAGGAAATACGTGAATGTAAAATGTAAAATAGTCTGTAGGCCTGGAAATTAAGCCTGCGTGGCCTTCGTGTAAATATCAACGTCTGTTCGTAAAGATTCGGGTGGATCGAAGAAGAATAGAGTGTTTTCCTTTGAAAAACACACACACGACTGTCATATAATAAGGAGGAATGCAGGACTGGCAGCATTTTAATAAGACACGAAGTGAGCAGAAAATGTCTATAGGTATTTTTCTTGTGCATGTGTACTACCAAGAAGCTACTCCCTGCTCAATTGTTGCGTTTGGATATAAAGCAACCCTGGATACTCCTGGAATCAAGTCTCTGCTGGAAACGCAGCATTGTTTGTTCTACGGGGTGCCATTGGGATCAAAATACTAATATGAATGCACCCCACGCTGAACAGATAAGTCCTAGGGTTGACTGATTTAAATGCTGTTCAATTTGGCTGAAGTGAGAATTCCTCCTCACAGTGGAAGCAGCAAGTGTGCCCTCATGTGGATACAGCGAGTATCTCCACACAGTGGGTAATGTCCTCTCACTGCAGGACATGATGGCAAACCAATTAAACGCTTAATGAAGCCTCAGTTATCGGACTGCCTTTTTGGGAAATAACTGTACATGTGACACATTTCAAATTAAGGAAAAATAAACCTCAAACTCTTTTTTTCCCCTTCTTTCATAAAGAAGCTCAAACAAGGAGAGTAGTTATTGGTGCGCCGAGTTTACGCGCAAATTCTACCCACAGGATTGATCAATAAAACGGCTGTTTGTGAGGGATCAATGCATTTATTTACTCTGTCCTTTTAATGGAGACAAAAGTAGCACAGAGATCAAGATTACCAAGACAGAGCCTGGCTTACAGATAAATTATTCAACCTACACACAGGTTAGCAGAGCAGAACAAAGACAGGCACGTTTCACCTGCATCAATTAAAGATGGAAACGTGCTTTTATTTTGGTAACAACGACAAGTCTCTGATTTTCAAGCAGAATCTGATGCACAGAAACTATACAAAGCCAACTGAGAATACAAGAACAACAGACTGACGTTGGAAATTACCTATTTTTTTCCTCACATGGCGCTCCACGTTTGAATATCCTTCATTATCTCCCAGTTTACAGTGCGAACACAGTGCTGCAAGAAGCCAAAATGGAGCTAAATCAAAACCAAAGCAGCAGGAAAAAAAAACTCTTAAATTGTCCAAAAAATTGTTGCCTGGCGCTAAACTAGTCCGAGGCAGGAAGGAAAACCAGTCCTCTTGTGGTCTGGGGGTTGGGACAGCAAAGTCCAATAGCCCCCTATTTAGACATTTACAGCTAGGTTTATTGTACTGTCTAGACGGTTCAAGGTTTAGTAAACAGCCCAGTGTTTGAAAGCAAAGGAAATTAGGGGGACATACAGGCCTGCGAGCGTCAAATTTCTCCTTTCATAAAGCTCTAGGAGGTGAAAATCCCCCTTTTTTCTGGAGTTATTTCTGCAGGACTTGGTTAAGTTCATGTGACAAGTTTCGTGACTATAATACAACATTTGTTGGGACTATTTTAATATCACAGCACAGCGTGCATTCGCTACATGCGTCTCGTAAAATTGACATTATTACACAAGAAGGAAGCCTATATAGACCTTATATAAAGGATTTCAAAGCACAGCGCGCGCGCTTGACTGGAACATTTTCTGCAAATATGGCGCAAAAGGTGAAGACAAATAAATAAATGCAGGAATTTCTTCCAAAAATTGTGGTTTCCCAAAGATTAAATCTTTGTAAATACATTTTAAACATGAAGATCAAGATTCAGATATACACAGGGTTTAAGTCTTTAGGATGTGTGTGTGTATGTGTGTGTGTGTGAGGGCAACTCCTTTTTCTACCGTGTGTGTGTGTGTGTGTGTGTGTGTGTGTGTGTGTGGTATCAGAATAAAGGATTCCCTGTGAAATACTGTAGACGGTCGCGGTTGAGCTTTTTCTCTTTCATTCTTCTGTTCTGAAACCAAATCTTCACCTGCCGATCGGACAGGTTTAACATCCGGGACAGCTGCAGACGCTTCTCTTTGTTAATGTAAACGTTGAAGAAAAACTCTCGTTCAAGTTCTCGGATCTGGAATTTGGAGTAAGGACACCTCTTCTTCCTGGACTTGGTGGATGAACCTGCACAAAGAAACACAAATTAGGACATTTTATTCTTTAAAAACAAAACATGAGGTTAAAATATTTGTTTTTTTTAGGTTTTGTAAATGTCTACAGATAGATTGAGTGATGCATTTGTTTGTGCACAAAGGCCCTTCTCTGACAGACAGGCCTACAGAAACGCAAACACACAGAATAAGAAGACAACAAGCGAACAATCTGCAGTAAAATTAAACCACATTGCACAGATTTTTATGCAAAATTTGGAAATTTTTGGCTATATCGTTTATTGCCATTTTCTACAAAACTTATAACACTAGCTATAAAGCGTTAAAAACTCATTAATAAAAGGCTTTCCTGACCTCTCTTATTCCCTATCAATACGAATCAATTCCAGCACCACAGCATAGTTATTAGACACAAGGCAATCTTTAAACATAACAGTTTCCCATAGTAAATGCCTTTACAAGCGTAAAGCAGATCTTATAGGGATATAAAAGCTTTTGCATGCTTATAAAGAGGCACATAACCCTGCACTGCCACGATACTGGACACAGTATAAAGAGGACTCTCTCTATTGTCTCCTCTGCACACCTTAAAAACAAGACAAAGAGGAGAAACACTTACACTGTTGGTTGTTTTTGTCCCCACAGTTGGAGGATGAGCAGTCCTCGTCCGCGCTCGGGTCCGCTTTGTTTTGCTCCAGTTTGGTCTCAGCCTGATTGTTATTCGCAGCAGAGTCTGTCTTTTGTTTGGGGGGCTCCGCGCTGGGCTTCTCTGAGGAGTTAGGAGTGTCCAAAAACTGGTCGAAGGCTTGGGGGAGAACCCCGTTCCGACCGACCCCCGGGAAAAAGCTACACGGCGAGCTCGCGCCTCCGTGGTGGCCGTACAAGGACTCGTTTTTGAAAATCACGTCCGCCCTGCTACCACTGCTGCTGGTGGAGGACTGGATCAAGTCCCGGTGCATTATCTCGTCCGCTGAGTAGTAGGACGCGTAATTGCCCCTGTAGTGCCATTTGCTTGGATGGTCCAGTCCATAATCCCTGAACGCGACCTCTCGGACAGGCTGGACCGGCGCTATGTTTGGAGAATAGGGGAAATTTATCTGACACGAAGTAGTCTGCGGTAAAAAGGAGGAGACTGATGTAAAATCGGGCGTCGAAACGTAATAAGTACAGCTCGGTAGATACATATTTGACGCACAGCTGCGATCCTCGTACTCCGTCATATCTCTTCTTCCCCTTTTTCCCCCCTTGCAACAGAGGAAAAAGGATTTGGCAGCTCGACTGTGTTAAACTTTGTCCATCTATAGCACCACAGGCGCGTGCAGAGACCCCGCCAGGGAGAAAAAATCGGAAACGTAGGCAGACCTGCAATACATCTTGATCGATTCTTGAGGTAATTGTGTCATGTGATCCAGCCAAGAAATTACCATACATCAATATCAGTCATTAAAAACTGTCCGGAGAAACTCATGTGAGCGCATGCGAGGGACTTCATTGGCTCCTGGGCTGCAGAGGAAACTCCTCTCCTGCCTCTCTGCCCCATAGCTCATTGAAAAAAAGAGACATTTGTAAAGCAGAGCTGGAATATTTAATTGAAAGCTTTACAGCAACATCATCCTCGTGGTGTAATGGCACGTAATGACACAAAAGTCTGTAAATTTGCGGGTTTTTGGAGAGGACACGGTGCGTATTTTTAGCAACAGTTAGATTGACTTTCCTATTTGATGCAAATCTTGGTGGAAATGGTGCCAGGGCCAGTGTGTGTGTGTGTGTGCCTGCACAGTGCACCAGAAACCTGCAGAATGATACGCAATTCACAGGCGGCTCATTAAGTCAGATTTGATGGAAATAAATTTAAGGGTTCATTGCGCATGATCACTGCGCACTGCAATGGTAGGGGGAAGTTTAAATACACACTCACACGCATACACACACACACATACACAAACAGTGGAAAATATTCAGAGCAATTATCTAATAGATGCCTTTGGCTTGCAGCATCTAGTGCAAAACAGCTCACGCGTCTCCAAAGAAAACAATCAAACAACAAGGGAACGACGCAAAATAGTAATGCGCAAAATACGCAAAAATCCTTCAAATGAATCCACACTAGCAAATGTATACACAAAATTTTTAAAACGAGTTAATACCAGAATTTGAAACGATTCTCTTTTGTTGTATTTTCCTCGTTTGCGCCTCCGTAAACAGCCCAAACAAAGCAGTCCACACTGCACACGCAGAAAAGTTGATTTTGGATGTCACAGAGACAGAAGGAAAGCATTAATCACTAGAAGCAGGCTCGGCATTGCCAAGTCCAAAACTACTGGCTTTGACCGTCTGTGCTGTCGATTATGTCCACCAAGCATTCAACAACCAGCTTCTGCACCCAAATCAGTTTAAAGCATGCGGGTAGCCATGTCTCCAGATTTTAGGCCCTGTTCTTTCCGGTTGGTATAAACTGAGATAAGACACAAGGGTAGCAAAGTGTTCCCAACCCTCCAGCTGTGTTTTTATTCACACAGCCGTGAGTATTATTCCTGAATCTTTCACGCGTAATATTAAAAGAACGGCGGATTAGACTAAATGACAAAGTACGTCAAAGCTGTTTTTCTACTTTTTCTTCGGGGTTGTTTTGTAATTGATGTCTGATCTTGTAATGCCAGCTTTCGCCCCTCAAGCTGTAGTGCAGCTCTATTTTGAAGGTCAGTGTTGTTTTTAGAAGACGAGCAGATTCCTCGCAGCACTGGGCCTGAAGGTCACACGCAATGTGGAAGCAGCTCTCTGGCTCAGGCTGTAAGCGTTTATTGTTATTGGGGGATAAAATCAGCTTTGTGCCTCTCTCTGTGTTCAGCCCAAACTACACTGGTGTCTGCAACACTGTTGGTTATTATCAGCGCTAAAAAGAAAGTCTGGATTTTTAGAAAATTACGAAAAACGTTGGGATTTGAAAAATTGTGCACGGGTGTCCCTGACATGAGGAAAAAGATAAGATAAATATATATCCAACAAACTCCAGTTGTTAAATGAAATGTAATTGAAAGTGACAAAAATGAAAGACGGAAAATGAGCAGATTTTCGCAAGAGAAAGTTAAGGTTACCTGTTGATTCCCTTTCCATTCTTACCTTCTATTGTCTTTTTATTTGTTTTAAAAGAAAATTTGAATGTGCAGTTTTTAAAATAACTGTTCCTGTATTGGTCTTGATGTATTTATTTTTATTTTAAACTATTTATATGATTACTTGCGCCACAATATTTATGTTATCTTTTCAACTTGCGCCTTTGCATTGCGCCCAGAATAGTGCGGTATTTAATTTTAAACGCTGGTTTTAAGCGTTGAAAATCCAACATTAGCTCAATATAAGACGTGTCCACCATTTAGTAACTAGGCTTTATACTTTAAATTATACCACAGAAGAGGTTTCCAGACACTAAACTATGTTTTACTTCAGTTTTGAGGCGCCTGAGTCTGTTTTTGTTGTGCGTAATGGAGTAAATGAACCCCATCCTCGCAAATATTGACGGAGAGCTACCTCAGAATTGCTCCTATTGATAAGAAAGACACAAAACTCTGGAAAACTAATTTACTTTTTTTTTTTTTTCCAAAGATGTTGTCTTGTTCTCATATTTTGTGTAGTAGCAATGCACAGCCTACTAACTTGACCTTAACTTTGTGATGGCGCCCCCGTTATCTTAAGCAGTCGCAGCTATATGACCGCTGTCTGGCTGCGTTGTGCAGTAAAGCAATAAAGCCACAAAAAGTGAAGGAAGCGTTGCGTATTGGACGCATAGAAAACTCAGAGTAGCCGGTCAAACTAGCCGGAGCAATAAAAGCTAATAGTAGGTGAAAAATGTTGCGTGGGAAGGACTTTAAGCTGAGGAAAGACAGACAGTTGGAACACAGGAGGCCTGTAGCTAATACGTCTGTGAATGTACGTGTTCTTCTAAAAATAATGTTGAAAATAGCAAGATTGTGCCGCAAAAATGACGCATTTAGCTCAAACGGAGCCAAAATATCAAATGTAGAAAACCTCAAAATGTGCTGAAGCCACTAATGGAAGAACCATGTCATCACGACTCTTGTATGATCCTTTAACAGGACTGCAGTGATGTGTCCTGCAGAGAAATTTTAGTTGCAGAGCTGATGACGTGATGATGATGCAATCGGATGGTGCATTACAAGATTTAGTCTCATGCGTAATAATAACGCTCTGTTGGCGGCACTGTGAGCCTTCTCCTCATGAGAACACTCACTACTTTCAACTTTGTCGTGTTAAATTTTAGGAATCCTCCATCAAACATCCAAAAAGCAACAACAACAAACAAGTGTGTTAGATAATATAAACACTGGTCCTATTTAGGATGCCCAAAGCGCACACCGTCAAACAAGCCGTTTAATTCGCTACTAAGAGCCCCAAACGGAACTCTTTTTAAAGTGTGTAGAGTATCTAACTTTAGAGGGAAATTAAAACATGAATATTTGGACTTAGATCCATTTGTTCACAGCCACAGTAACCTCGCGCTGACATGTGGAGGTTTTGGCCTGCTGGCGTGGGCTGCTGCTGCCGCTGCTACTGTGGAAAGGAATTACGCGTCTGCGCCAGACAGGCAGGAAGATAAAGATACAAAATAGAAAGTATCTTATATGTAAAAATGTATTGAAGTGAGCGGAAAATCTCGCATCAACAGTACAGGAAAGGTACCCCGTAGTCCTTTAAGTTAAGGTGGATGATTATAAGATGGTAATTCAGTCAGCACTGGTGTAACGCTGGCTTTGACTTTCTTGGAAAAAATACCTGAACTATTACTAATTTAGAGAGAAAAGAATCAAGATGCGAAATGTATGAACGCGTTTCCTTCCTTGCATCCGTGATCAATCTCACTGTGAAAATTATTCCGATTAATTTAAGCAAAAGGCTTCTCCACCCACACACACACACACACACAAACACAAACACACACACTTCTATGAAAGTCGCATGCGGCCTATGAAACACCTTGGTCTCCTCTCGAATCAGGCCTTTCTATAGAAATTATTGATGTTAATGTTAAAATTGAACGTGAATCTTTATATAAGACGTTCGCATTTGCAGTTTTTCCAAAAAGGTTTATATAACTCTGAACCCTTAGCACAACGCGGTGATCAATATTCATCTTGTACTCCATGAGGTAAAATAGTTACTCAGTATAATGTCTAAGAATATAAAATGATGCACAGTAAAGCTCGTCCTTGCTTTAAAATTATCTTTATTTACATTTATCTGCAGTTCATTTACAAAACTTCATGTCCGTGCGTAAAAAGATGGCTGCTGATCTGTTGCGTAGTCTTGCGATCATATCCAACATGCTCTGTGGAAGCATTCATAAATGAATTGACCGTCAAGTAATTGTATCTTCTATCAATATTTTATTCATAGAGACGGGATCTGCTAAGCAAGAGTGAAGCAATTCATGTAACCTGTGATCGTGCGTAAAGTAAGCGTTATTTGGCCTAAAAGAAAATTCCAGTTATTGTAAATTTCTCAAATTATCTTTTTTTTTAAAGGTTATACAATCAGAATATTCAAACTCCACAAATTGACATATTCACCAGGCATTATATTGAACATCAACACATCACTACATTTGGCACTGTCCTCTGAATGCGGGACAAGAAGAACAAAATGTTACTTTAGTCAGACTCAGATTCACAATTAATTCAGGCTAAATGGGGCTTTTAATTGAATAATATTAATTGGGAAATAGGCATGCAATCATTTTATCATTTTATCTTTTGCTAATTCAACTTGGGTCCATGTTTGATTCGTCCGTAAACATGAACTTGACTGTTTACTTCTACTTAAGGTCAAATACTCTGCATGCGCCATCGTACAAACACACAATATATAGATTTGTAATCCTGTTTCAACAAGGCGATGTTTGATCTGGAGGTGTAACAGTTGGGCTCAAATGTATATCATTAATGCAGCTATAGAGGCCAAACAGGAGCCAGGGGCCTGCTACTGCAGTGCGCATATGGACAATCTTTAAAACTGTGCGTAAAATCTATCCTAGCATAAACCGCTGTGAAGTTTTACAAGCAATATTATGACTGAACTTGGGATAAAACTGTTGCCTATAATGGAACAGGCACAAAAACATTTTATACATATCCATAAATACAAGTCCATCCTATAAACCGGAGGGTGTATGATGAGCTGCATGGTAAATACAGGATATTTTTGTGGTCATGATCAAGTCCAAAGGTCATCAGTACGCAGAGAAAACGTGCTCGCGCATCATCAGCCGTTTCTTCTTCATCCTCCGGTTCTGAAACCAGATTTTCACCTGCTGGTCGCTCAGGTCCAGTCTGTCCGACAGCTCTTTGCGTTTCTGTCTGTTGATGAACTCGTTCATCAGAAATTCATTCTCAAGTTCAGCCAGCTGCGGCTTGGTGTAGGGCTTCCTCTTCTTTCTGGGTTTCACTTGAGAAGAACACCACGGGGCACCTGGAAGCACAGACAAGGTTTACACTCCTCGCTCCTCTCATTAAATATTGTTTTATAACACAGTAATAAGTCCACCCTAGGCCTACTGTACACTGAGGGAAACAGGACTAGCCTTACAATGAGCCTCTGACACAGTGGCCTGTGTGAGGATATTATGGAGGTATTAAAATAACAAAGTTGCCACAGGAGATATAAAACAACTATAAAATAGTCTCAGAGAGTCACACGAGCTCAGTTTTACCATAAAATCTCCTTATTACCCCAAAATGATATTTTCTGTCCCTTCATAAGATTTGACAGGAGACCACAGAGGACTCAGTGTAAAATAACGCGGATTAAAAAAACAACAAAGGTCTTCTTACAGTCTCTTTTGTGTCATTATAGGTCTAATAAAATACGCACAGTGAGCTGGGGACCACAGAGTTTCATCATACAAGCTGCCTTACCTTCTGCAAATGTCGTCCTGCTGCACGTGTGACTGGATGATGGCTGGCCATGATTCTGCTCCTGTTTGAGCCTGTTCAGTGAACCTGCAGAGTCCGGATCGAGCTGAGTCCGGCTCTCCAGGTCTGAGAACCCGCGCTCAGTGGCGGCCCCGTGCTCTCCTGCGTAAACGTCACCCTGCCTTCCTGCCTCCTCCGTCTTGTGGTTTGCGCTCTGAAAGCATCGAGCTGATTCCTCCAAATGCGCCTTTACGTGCCCGCTGCTGGAGTTTGAATTTATAGACACAGAGTTGGAGAGAAAAGGCGGACAGTAGCCCCCAAAGGCGCGGCTCTGTGCTGGTGTCGGTAGTGGTTGTGGTGGTGGTGCTGGTGATCCAGACGCGCACGAACTTGGTGAAGTCCACGGGAGCGTGCACACCTCTCTCCTATTGTAAGGGAGCTGATGCAGGCCGGGTAAGTGGGCTCCATTACCCCGCAGGTTGGAGAAATACAACGACTCAGGAGGAGCGAAATTCAGCAGAGAACCAACATAGCCCGGATTTAAAGAATTCCGCTCGCACATTTCCATCGAGCTTCCCTCAAACGCGTCCTGCAAAGCCTTTTAGCAACTCCTGAAGAATAACAGCTAGGTAATTGTTGATTTGTTAATACAAGGTCACGTGATATGCTAAATATGTTGTTCCGCCCCACCCTTGCTCCCAATACTGCAAAGCAAAAATACTCCACGAGGAAATATTTTGGTGGGCTTCTAAGTGGGTGGGGGTGTATTTCAGTCTTAACATCTGTTTTGAAGAGACATCTGAAGATAATGTGGTTTTGTCAGATATATTTGAAGAGGACTTTTATTTTGAAAGTGCGTGTATCCCCCCCTTTTTTTTGGTGAGGTATCATTGAGCTGACATGAAGAACACCAAGGTGACTGCTGTGTGGACATTAAGTACAAAGACGAGGCCTTAAATGCACCATATGAAACCTGAGATAACGCACGATGCATTCAAAGACTTCTGGAAATCCCTCAATTACTAATTTAAATATAGATGAATTCAAGAATAAAGATTTTTAAAACAAAGCCCACTGAGAAATGACATTATCAACCTTGTGAGAATACTTCTTGAACTGCACCACCAAACAAATTATGTCTCAATCTAGACTAAAATGACACCCAAAGCCCCGTCCTCACCATCTGCGGGTTTCCCTTTAGGCTCACATATCTGACTATTATAAAGCCATGTCTAAAATAAACCTCATGACCAGTACACATCAGTATATAGTATATAGAGCAAAGACGAGGAGCATGGCAACCATTACGCATCTCCATGGCACCTGGATCATGAGCCATCAGAACAACAAGTCCAGTGATGGAAAATATATTCATATACACTGTAGTATATAAGCAAAAGAAGTGATATTATTCTGTGATGATACTATCCAAGGCTTTTTCTTTGAAAATCGATGTAAGTATCAGCAGCATTTCATTTCTGGTTATTTTTTTTTACGCAAAGACGCTCCATGTGGCGTTTTATTGTTGATGTTGTAGTGGGAATATTCTAGTTATCACTGTGTATGCATGTTGCATTATTCAAGATTGGGCTGTTTTTGGTAAGTATAACCTCATGGTCTGCAGTCCTATTTTTTGCGCTTGTGGTTTCAAACCAATCGCAATGTTTTTTTTATCATAAAGTTGATGGTGATCTTTTTGGAGTGTGCGTATAGGCCTAGTTTTACAGAAATACAAATATCAATACCAATAAACCACAATTTTCGAGTGCGCATTAAGAGCCGTTTTGGCGGTCTCTCTTGTTTTTCATTTCAAGCTTCAAATGCTCCTGTAAGATTCAGAATCTTGGATTTACAAAATAATCCTTTAGACGGATTTTGCTCGACGTAAGAGTAAAAGGAGTTGACATTTTTAATAATGAATCTGACTGTGAAATAAGGTGAACATCTGCATCTCCAAGATAGAGAGATGAAATACAAGAAAAATAAGTTAAGACGAGGAGCCTTAAATGTGGATTAACCTTCGGAAAATAAAACAAAACTACAATCCTTTCGGAGGCGATAATATTCATGCAGTTTCTTCAGACAGCGACGTGTTTAACCCTCAATTATAAAAATCTCCCCTGTGCAGATTTGATAACTCAAGTCCAAGTGCGTTGACCTGCGGGGTTTTGTTTGTGGTCGAAATAGTCTGTGCGTCCTAAAGCAGTGGAGCCTTCTGTCAAGACCAGACAGTGTCTGGTAAACTCTCACACCGAGTTTGATTGAGTTTAATCATATAATCTCATATTGTATCCTGAATACTCCCTTCAAATAAAAGGTAATCCTTACTAAAGACTGTTTAATATTCAAGTTAGACATTATTGTTGTTGTTTTTATTGTGCTACCTTTGGATAGTTTCATTAGACGATAAATAAGCCTGTGATTTTGCGCATACACGTTGTCTTTTTTAAATAAGTAAATAGGCCTACATGAAAACACACACACACCACTCTCACACACTTATTTGTACGTGTGTGAGTGTGGTGTATGTGTGTATATATATATTGGGGATTAAAGAGTGCTCCAGCCTGCAGTATGGTGTTTCGGAGATCCGTCAACACTGAAATTGTTAGTACGGATGTGTTTAGGTTGAAATGTCCAATAAGCTCGACCGTATATCTCTGTAACCACAGGGATCACCGCTAAGACAAATAAAAGTGGGTTTTACACCAATTCAGCAAATGTGACCATTCTTTATGACTAATCTGTGTGTTAACTGTCAAATGAGCAGATTTTATGGATCTGAAAACATATTAAACGGATTGAGGTTTTTGCATGTGAGCTGTGAATGTAGTCTCTTAAACGTGTCTGCTATAACATGTGAGCAGTTGCAGCAGTGATCCAGTAGGTGGCAGAGTACATCCACACATGGCCCACATATAATGCTTCTTCTTGTGCTTTTTTATGTTTTCATCAGAATCTACATTTTGTAAATAAACACTGCAGAAGTTTGAGTCAAGTCTGGACCTGAAGCTTTGCCGTTTTTTTTTTCTTTTAAATGGATGGGTCTAAATAAAAACACTCATAACGTTTATCAAACTCTCATGTGGTATGAGACTACAGGGAATTCACAATCGTTGCAAATTGCTGAAGGGGAGAGAAAACCTGGGGTAAATGTGTGATTGTGATATTTAGTAAGGAAATAAATATAAATGTAGGAAATGAAGAAAAATACTGTAAAATACTGTAGAAAAAAAAGGTGGTTAACTTATAGCATAACATATATACAAATTAAAAAGACGGTATATAATCCAAGCCTGTGGGCAGTAGTTTTAACACAATAAAGTCACATTTTTTTATAGCCTATACTTTTCATACAGTTGAAGCAGATTTTTTGGGTGTCGTTTTTTAAGGTGGTGGATCCGCTTAACCCGTTTTGGTTCAGAAAACGATCATTTTGCGTACATTTTTAGATCAAATGTTAGATTTTACGGAACAATCTCTGAAAAAAAGGCTTTTATACAGATACGAATAAATACTCTTGCAGTGACTCGTTTCCATGTGGTTTTTAGTTATCAAAATATTTAAAAGTACCACAATAAGTAGATGTATAAGTTGTTAATTTTAATGTTCGTCGCGTTAGAAAACTTGTTGACTATTTCCTCTAGAGAAACAGAATTAAAACATTGGGTATGTAGAAATTGAAACTTTTACCAAGGCTGCATTATTATTATTTTCTTTATTACCAGTTTCTTGTGATGAATCGAGTGTTTCTCTGTAATCAGTTTCATTTCTTCCTAAAAACCTACAGTGAAGCTCACCTGAAGTGGTCTCATCTCTGTGCGCTCTCTCTCTCTTTCTCTCTGTGTGTCCAAAAGCTTTCTTACTTGCACATGTGTAACTTTAGTTGCATCAGCTCCAGTCTGCAGGTAAATTACTCTCTAACTGTGGTAGTTTGGCTCCCAGGATTAGAAAATCAGGGCAGTTAGAGTGTTGGGTTTTAGTGCTGTTTACAACCCTGCGTCTGTGGCGTGAGGAGCCAAACTGAGGAGCCGCAGACTGAAGGTTTCCTTTGAAGGAAGCTCTCCGCCGTCTATTGTCCTTGGTAATAAACTTGCTGCTTCCCTCGTTCAAGTTCCCTGAACTGACTGAGAAATGTTGCCCTGGATCCCCAAAAGTGTTCAGATCTACAAACTGCTGCAGCTTTACATTACTGACAGACAAGGAGGACTCGGATTTACGCTCTTCATCCAAAATTAAAAAATGAGTAAAGGAGGACATGCTCTTTTTGTTTTGTACAACCAAACTTTAAAGTGGTGGTCTTTGGCCTAATTATGTCCATTTGAGCCCCAGGAAACATTTACAGCCCCGTTATCCAGTCAAGGAGTTTTCTCCCACTAAAGTCCTCCAGAACTTAGAGAGGGCCTCCCTGTAGTCTTGCTAAGATGGTGGATTTTTTTTGTGTCTCTTAGTTATTTTTAATATTTTATCTTTAAATTTATTTACCATCAATTCGCAATAGGTGGAATTGTTTGAAACGTCGAGACCGAAGATTTCCTTCAGTTGAACAAAAGATAAATGGGATTTTAAAATAATTGCACATTTTTCAAATCAAACAAGTAAAATATTATTTGGCTTTTAATAAGCTGCAAGACTTTTGTCCCGTTACCAAAGGGCGCGGCTTTCATGTATTTTACGGTAATCGAATATGTAGTCTTGGGTTAAATGAGCAGACTGAGTTTGTTCTTTGAGGATGTGGACTAAAAAGAGGCCGAAACCAAATTTTACGACTATTTAACCATAACATTTAAAGTCAAATGAATTAAACACTAGACTGCACTGGATTATTGAAAACCAAAAATCACTACAAGCTTTTTACAAACTGACTTTGAGAGTAATCATCTGTAAATTATTGATGTAAACTGACCACGTTATCTTTATTTAATGATTGCGTTACCCACTCGTGGACAAACTTCGAGATTTTATAAACAGCACATACAGTTTGTTTGATCCATAGCAAATGCGTAATCACTATTATCTACGTACATCCAGTTCCGTTAAAGAGTCATGACGCTGCGTAAAGTGTTGATTTAAACCAGAATTTCAATCTGGAAAATTATTTTAAGCCTTTATTGAATTCATGATGGTGCAAATGTTACGTATCGAATATTAAAACTGAAGATTTGGATTGATTTACCAGACATTTGTGCTCATGTGACATTTGATTCAAGTTCAAAGGCAGCGGATAATGGAGCAGCATAACACGGAAAAAGTCATGTTAAAAAATACCTGGAGGAGCATCTCACAATTAGTTCTAATTTTCAACTCGTGAATGGCATGACTGGCTTCAAAGGGCCGTAAAGTAGCATGAAATTTGAGGATTTAATTCTCTAAAGTACGTAGTATCACTAAAACGTTCAGATACACTGTGATCTCTGTACAAAACACACAAGGCCGATGATTCGTACTGGATGGCCTTGATCTTCAAGCCCTTCTCCAAAAACAGACATGATGACCCTGGTGTAAATCACCGCATGGGTTCACGATCACTTCTAAAAAAACACTGTCTGAGAGTCCCTAACTGACCTCCACATAAGCATGTTAACACTACCAAACTCTACTGTAGTCTAACAAATCAACATTTAAACTTTATTTTTGGAAATCCTGGATGCTGCCTCCTTTTTTCTAAAGTGGGGGAGGGACCACCCGGCTTGTCAAATACACACAGTTCAAGAACAAAAGACCCTGGTATGGAGATGAGGAAGGGTCCACGTTATGTTGAGGCAGAATTCAGGCAGAACAGCAAATACAGGCAACAAATGCTGCCATCCAGACTATGTCTTTTTCAGGGAAGACCTCTTACAACACAGCAAGAAGATGCAAAACTATTTCACACAACAGCATAGACGAGTCTGGGTGCTGAACTGGGCTGCCTGCAGTCAAGAAATCCAGAAACTGGTCTCCTTTGTTCCCAGAGTGTCACTAAAGCTGTGTAAAATCATGCTGCTGGCATCAAAGTTAAAAAAGGCATTTACTCTCATTAATCTGTTGTTTTTGCACAATTTCCAAATTTATCATCGGCTTTAAATAATTTACAAACCATCGAATTCTGTTTATACCACTCTTTTATTCAGCTTCCTACTCAGTACTGAGCTTGTAATTTTCTTCAGTTCTTATTATTGTTAAACATTTATGGATTTTGACAGTATGAAGACTGTTATGGGTACAGATTAAAAAGAAACCTGAAGCAAGACTAATAAGATTTAACAAGCCTGTTAGTATAATAACTATCATTTAAATTAACTCTCCACGTCAATTTAAAACTCAACAGGCATCAGCAAACATACTGTACCGCAAACTCCTATCAAGTGTCACTTATTACTATGTCACAGTTCATAACAGTGTAAGCCATTTAACATGATTTAATTAGACTGTGTTATTGTTCATTCAGCAGCATTACCATTTCAGAACAATGGGTAAACTCTACCTAAAAGGAGGGCAGACTTTGTGGTGTGAGCTCTTTAAAATTGAGATCATGCACAAGTTTGTGATTTTCTCTCCAGCTCATGTGTGCTCTCAGAAAAAAAGATCCATTCTAAGTTAATTCCTTTTGGCTGAATGAGTGTGAACAAATGAGTCATGCTCACTGTTAGGAAACTTTGTGTAGCTGATTTTTGTTGCTAATCTGGGGATGGTAGGAGGGATACTTTGACGATAATCAAGCTGTTAAGTTACATGGTTTTTAATATGTTTTTAAGCTGCAGCTGAAATGTGGGTGTCACGTGACTCCATGAGGACCAAGAGAGATGTGAAAAAGATTTCAAGACACAGGACAATTGACATACTTAGATTTAGCTACTCTAACAATCATTTGTGTCCTTTCAAACCTCATTGACACAGCTTCAGATTTATCTGATGGTGAAGGTTGCTGCTGCAAATTTGACTGGCTTTGTCACTTTTTGTGGCTGCTTGCATTTACACAAAATCACCTCTAGATGGCCCTCTCACTCAAGAAATGAAGTCCAAGACATGGCTGGATACAGACCTTGAATTTATGTTAAACTAACTCTTCATTTGGCTTTTTATTTGATTTATGAGGTTGATCAGTTTTCTGTAGGGGACTAGATTTGACTTAGAGGATCATCTGTTGCACCGGCTTTCAGTGATATTATCATTTTGTGCCATTTTAAATCTAAGCTAAAACTAAGACATTGAGGTTGTAGTCATGGCTGTCCTGCTGTGTTTTGTTCTGTTTCATTGGGGCAAATCAATCTTTACTTTAGCAGACGATGACAAGTTTAAAAAAACACTTTCAGGAACTCCATGACTGCTGACGTGCATCCTGTACTGAGCATATGAGATTATAAAGAAGGCCTTTTCTTAAAAAACCAAATAAACATGCAAAATGTAGACCTATCCTGCAAACACAGACTGGATATTCACCAGTTACACATATCATTTCATACTTATGTGAGTGAATGGTTGACCACCAGAGACATGTAAAGAAGGATTGAAATTCTATTGGAGGATGAACATCATCACCTCTCCCTCCAGGTTCATAAAGT